TCGCGAGCTGCGGGAACCCCTTCCCCTTGCAGCGTGCAGGGGAAAGTGAGCAGGAACAGTGTCCGCGCCAGGAGTTCGGGGGACAGACGGGCTGGGGCGGCATGGGACCGGGGCAAGTGCAGCAGAGGCCTAGGCGGGAGCGTTTGGCACGGGTGGGCGAACGTGAAGCCGCCTCACCCGCTCACCCCGGTGCTGCTGGCGCGCTTCAGACCTGTCATCCCTCTCGCCCGCGCCCGCACGCCCGCAACGCTGCGGCCGCCTAGCCCCGAGCTGGGTTCGGTGGTGCCTGTCGGGAACGCTGCAGCCCCGGCTGGTCGGCCCTGCATGTGGCCGGCTTGGTGGAGCTGGTCATATCCCCCTCCCGAGTCCAGCCTACAGCAGCGTGTGCACCAGATTGCCCCGCCGAGGACCCCCACCTAGGCCGCTGGGTAAGGGCCGAGGGGAGGCAGACTAACCTGGTGCCTCTGGGGGCTTTCAGTCCTTGGCCCCAAGACAGGCAGACCTGGAGGAGTTCCTGCCACCCAGAGTGGAGGCCACTGGGTGTCCCAGCTCAGCCTCCAGCGAGAGCTGCTGGAAGGATGAAAGGGGAAGTTACTCGCCACCTTTAAAACTTTGTTAGTCACAACTTCGGTGGCTACTTCCTGCTTCCACCATCGCACAGCAGACCTGTGTGCCAGCCTGTGGAGCCTCGCTCAGGGGCGGTGGGATGAGGCACTGTCTGGCCATGGAGGCTGCTGTGGCACGTGTGTGCAGGGGATCCCTGCTGGCAACTGTGGCTCGGGGAGGTCTGGCTTGCTCCTGTAGGGGGAGCCTGGCCTGGAAGTCTGGGCTCTCCTTGACTGTGTAGTTTCAGGATTGAGACTGGAGGCCTGGTGAAGGTAGAGGGAGAACTGCGGCTCTGAGTAGAAGCCACGCCTCCCTTGAGGGCCCAGGCCGAGGGGCAAAACCACCTGCCTTACTCCAGAGCCTCCTAGGGAAGATGTGGCACATGCTCTTTTAGGGCCAGAGAAACGCAGCTTTTCCACAGGTGGTAGATGGCTTCACGACCAAGGGGAAAGGAGAAACTTCCCAGGTTGAGAATGTATGGGTCCTCTTTTTCCTATTGCTCTGGACAGTGAATAACAGGGGACTAAACATTCAATTACTATGATAAACCATCTCACTGCATGGCCTTGGTCCATTCTCCACTCTAATTGGGTTGGCCTCTGGCTGATTACTCTGGTCTGTGTGAAGATCCTGGAGAACCCCCCCCCATACAGCTTGCTCTGGACAGTCTGCCCACTGCCTGTGTGGCCTCTCCAAGCAGCAGCCAGAACCCCCAATCTCCGTGCCTCTGTCAACCTCTCACCCCACCCCAGGAAAGAATGAGCTGGAGAGCCCACAGGGATGAGAGTTTAACTTTTAAACGTGAGATTTAAAAATAGCCCCAGTGTTTGACCTTGTGTGCTGCTGCTTTTAATAAATGGGGGGGGAGACAACATGCAGTTATAGATTCAGCTGAGGGCCTCCTGTGGCTGCAGAACCCAGGGAAGGGCTGCCCAGTGAGCCGAGACCTCTGGGAGAAGAGGGGAGTGGGAGAAGGATGGGAGGGTGTGCATTGGGTCTAGTGTCCTGGAAGGGGAATAGGCTCAGTCTAGGAATCTGTGGCTTTGATAGGCTGTCTTCTGCAGTTGGGTGTCTTGGAAGAAAACCTTGCTCACAGTGGGGTGGAGTGGAGTCGGGGTGTCCATAGGTTCCCGGGAGGTTCCTGCTTATCCTTTTAGATTTGTTTCAAATGCCACTTCTGTAGGCCTTAGCCTTCTTCTGAACGCTCATTTCCACCTTATATAGTTATCTGTGCCTACTGTAGTGTGGTGGTTTAAAATGTAGACTTGGAGTTAGAGTCTCTGATCTTCATAGAGTTGTTGTGAAGATTCTGTGAGTTAGTGTATATAAAGCACTTAAAGCACATTGCAGTATTGTGGTAGCTTCTGCTCTAGTGTAAGCTCTGTATTGTTCCCACAATACCTGGCACCCAGTAAGTGTTTACATGTTAGTTGAACAAATGGGTGAAAGATCTCCATCAAAAAAATGTGGATTTGGCATGCTGGGACCTTCCTGCACAGCACCATTGGTTTCAAAAGGGTCAGTCCACCTTGGGTGATTCTGGTGCTGGTGAACCCAGTTCCCTGGCACTGGCCTGCCACTGGCCTTCTTGAGTGTGTGTCCTGGTTATCCTGACCTGAAGGAGATGTTCCTGCAGGGTGAAAGAGTTGTGGAGCCTCCTGCCTGGGGATCTGCTAACCTTGGGCCTTTCCTTTGGCCAGGCCGGGCTGGCACCCTTCCTGCATGTGCAGGCATGCATTAGTACAGAAGGAGCCTGGGGCTCCATTCCTCTCTGACTCACTGCAAACTGCAGGAAATGCCGCCAGTTTGTCGCATCCCATTGGAGGGGTTGCTTCTGTACATTAGAACTCTGACTGTGTGGGGCTGGATGAAATTGCATGCCAGGCTAGGGCTAGGTGGAGTATGCTGAAAGCCCCAGGTCTTACTAAGGGAATCTCCATTTGCATTCGTAGCAACATCCAGGATACTGTGAGACTGTGAGCTCATTTTATGAATCAGAAGCATTACAGCATAACTTTGGTGTTGGAAACTGCTGTTTGGAATCCAGATCACCTTCCCTCCACCCTCAACACATGCACACTTTACATGGGCTCTCACAGTCACACATTTGGGAGCAATAACAGTTAGTGGGGACATCGGTTCAAATTCCAGAGCCATCAAGCAAAAACTCCACACCCACTTCTGCCCCCACACTCAGAACACGTTCATTCTTGGATGGTGTATGGACAGTCACCAGGGCAGTGATTCTGATAGAAGCCTGGTGGGTGCATGGGAATGAGGTCAGGGCAGACCTGGGTTCATACACCAGCTTCTCCACCTGCAATGTGGGTTTGGGCATTGCTTAACTTTCTGAGCCTCAGTTTCCTCACCTGTAAAATGGGGATGATAATAGTGCCTCACAGGGTTGCTATGAAGGTTAAACAAGATTATGCATGCAAAGTGACCGGCACTTGGTAGATACTCAACAGATGGTAGGTGTCATTTCCACCAGGACCAGTTCCTACCAGGTCCAGCTCCTGTTTGCCTTTTGCTTCTACCAGGGAAGAGAAAATCAAAGTGTCGTTCTTGTGGTAGGAAAGCAGTCTCCCAGGCCTTTGGGGCTTGTGTAAATGAAGCTCATTTTCTAACTCCCTAGGCCCTGGGCACAACTGTGTGACCCACTCCCAGCTGGGGTAGCCCAGATTCTGGTGCTTGTGCGCCTTCCGGAGGGACTCTGCCTGCAGCTGAGGGTTAAGGACTCCTCTTCTCAGAGATCAGATTGTGCTCTGGGAACCTGCCGCCCAGGCCCCAGGCTGAACTGCTCACGTGGGCTGGAGGAAGGCTGCTTTCTCAGCCTAAGAAAAAGTCCCCTTGTCTTTGCTTCACCTGAGGCCTCCCAGTGTGGCCTCAGTGGAGGTTTGGGAGGAGCTGGGGGTGGGAGTCGTTCCTCCAAAGACCACTTTGGCTCTTTCACCAATTGAAAATAGAAGCAGGGGAGCACCAAGATTATGTAAGAGGAAAGTTGCCACATGTCAGAAGAGTTGAACTTTTGCTGGGGTGGGGGCGGGGGGGTCTCCCTGAGGGAGGTGATTGCTGGCTGTGGTTTGCGGGGGCTGGTGGGGAAGAGCTGGCCTGGGGGCCTGCGGCCCCCCTGGCAGCTGTTCTTGCTCCTGCTCTTCCTGGAACCTGGTGCTGTGGCCAGCTGGGGAAGGTGCTCCCTATTCCCCCTGCCTTTCTCCCCAGCTGCAGGGAGCTCGTGGTGAGAGGGTTTCTCCAGGCAGGCTTCCTTCAGGAGTCGGGAAGGTGGGGAGGGGAACAGCCAGGGCAAAGTTTATCAGGCCAAAGCTTGAAGAGAGGGAAGTGTGTTGGCTTGCAGCCAGAAGGGGGTTCCCTCTGAGGCCACCCATCTTCTCTGGGGAAATAGGGTCCAGAGAGGAAGGAAAATGGTGAGGGATTTTGATCCCCAGCTTTTCCCAGTAGTTGGTCAGACAGAGGCCCCCACCCAGCCTGCTGTTGCCAGAACTTGCCAGTTCTGTGGCGGGGAAGGCCCCCAAAGCTCAGAAAGGGGCTTACGTGATAACTTGCAACCCTGAGAGTCCATGTGGGCTTCAACCTCCTCCTCCTCCTCCCAGCCTGCTGGCAGCTCCTGGGGCAAGCACCTGGCTACTGCTCAAGTCCCCCTCCGGACCTCACCTTGCTCCTCTGAGGCTCCAGCTGGCCCTGGGTCATAGTTCTGGGCTCCTCAGCTCCTGAGAGTTACCCCAGAGCTGGGAAACACTTTGGGATCTAGTCCAAGTCCTTCATTTTCAAATGGGGAAGCTGAGAGGCAGTGAGTTGCTTGAGTTTCCCAGAGCTATCTCCACTTTCTCTTTGGGAGGATAGAAACAAGGGTTGCTCCTGTGTCCTGCCCCTGGTCTT